ATTTAATAGCTAAACTTGCTGCCTCTCGCAAAGTTTCACTTTTCTGTGACTGGTCGTCAGCAATGCTCTCCTGTGCATCAACTATTTCTGAGAAAAATTCCTGAATAGTTGCAGCTGAGTGTTTGCATTTGACTAGTTGCAGTTGAGTTGAGATTTCAATTAAACTGTTATGGCATTGTGGACAATGTCCAATTAAAATAATAATTGGTTTTAAAATATCTGTGTCAATAAATATAAAACATAAAGATAATTTCTTTGAATTATTAGTTTGTACATTACTATTAATACTGCATTGTTACTTTTTTTTGAAGATATTAACGTCAAGATTTTAGATTTTGTGTTAATAAAATTTGTGATTTCCAATTGAGAAGTCGAACTATTTGTATTGGAAACTGATAATAATGGAGAAAACTGATTTCCCCTAAAATAAATTTTTTTAAATATCCTGCTACCACCTGATTTCTTTCTTAGATTTGAATCATATTTTCTTTTTTCCATAATAAAAAATACACTGATGAACGAGACTAGCAAATAAAGTAAAACACGAGGATTATAGTTTAGGACCGGCGAAGTCGACTTTTTCAGACTTGAATTTAAATGAAAGACAAATTCAGATCATATGCGTAAACCGAATTTAACTGAAAGACGAATTTAAACCGTATTTGTTGCCCTAATTTAACTGAAAGACGAACTTGCACTTCTAAACCGAATATTACTGAAAGCCAAATTTGGATTTTAAAAACGCATGTAATTAAAAAAGAAATTTTTTAAGAACTTTTAAGTTTTTTTTTTTTTTTTTTTTACTTTAAATGTTCCACGAAGACCTATCGGTTTTGCCAAGGAATACATCAGAAAAGTATTAAACTAGAAAGTTCAAACCTCATTCTTTACCTATAGTGCGAAATATGCCCAGAGCTTGCTTAGAACCCTTAGTCTCTTGCTTCTAAAGCAAGCGCTCTAACCACTGCACCGAGGTTACAACCACTGCATCGAGGTTACAACCACTGCACCGAGGTTACAACCACTGCACCGAGGTTACAACCACTGCACCGAGGTTGCTGTATAATCATTTTTTATAAACTAAAATTATTATTTTAATTAACTTTTTTTAACCATAATTTAAAACATGTTAATAAGCTTTTAATTAACCATAATTTAAAACATGACATAGAACAAGTGAAGCCAAGTAAATTTTGATTTATTAAAATAATATACACTTATAAAAAACAATTTGCGTCAAAATAAAAAATCTAAAAAGTCAGTAATAATGAGAATTTTAGTTATGGAATCTTTACAACTCTTAATGTTTTTGAAAGAACATGAACAAAAAACATTTAAAACGTTTATTAAAAAGTTTTGATTGTCAATTTTATAAAGAAAAAAGATCGTTAAAAATATTAGGTTAAATTTCACCTGTTTCTTACCTTTAGGATTTTTTTAAAGCGATAAATAAGATTTAATAAGTAATGAATAGACTTTTTGCCTAAAAATGACTTTTCGAATAATGATTCTGTAAGACAAATTAATTTTCAACAAGGCCATGTGGACCACTTTAGTTGAAGAAGCTACTTCTTATACTGGTTACAACCCTTTCTCAATTCTTAAACTCCGAAACACTCTTCGGAGTTAAAGAGTTAAAAGAGGGTTGTAACTATTAAAACCAAGTTGATATACATAAAACATATAATATATTTTATAATTCTTCTTCTTTATAAATTAAAAAAAGCTTTATATCTTTCAAATTTAACTGAAAGTTAAATGAAATTTTGAAATTGTTACCGAATTTAACTGAAAGCCGAATTTTTATTTCAACTTCTGCACCGAAGTCGAAGCCGAAATTAAATTTGTCTTTCAGTAAACTTCGTAATCCAAATTTTAACGAATATTTGCCGATCCTTAGTTTAAGATGCAAATCTAAATGTAATAATTGTTCCTAGAAATCATGGTTTATTCAGTTTAATAAGCATGAAACAGTTACTGGCAGAGACAGTTATCAAAAGCTGATTCCAGTGTATAAGGCACAAAACTCTAAAACACCTATTTTTCGACATAAACAATCCGTTGCTAAGGCCGTTCATGCAGTTGCAGTAATTTAGTCATTGCAAAAAATTTGTAGTAGCTCGTCGTGGTGCTTCTTTTTAATGTCTTTAACAAATCGTAATATGCAATCTAAATTTTAATAATCTCTTTGATATTTCTTGCTCCAAATATGACGACGTTTATCTATGGGAATAAAATCCAAAAGTCTTTCCTTTATATCACCAAGAGAAGAAACATATCTTATTACAAATGTTAGCTGATCATTATGTGAAATGTCAAGAGTCGAATCAAAAATTATGATGTAATATTTAGTGGCTTTTATTTCTTGTATTATTTCAGCTCTTACTAGCTTACTAATTAGTTGAACAAATTCATCACAAATACCATGCAACAAATAGTTTACATTTCCTCGTCCTTTAACAATAAAATATTTATGAATCACATTTTTTTAATTCTCATTTTAAAATTCAAACAAATTTAACTAGCAAATTCACATTGTTTTTTTAATTTTCTTCCGTTCTCTGCGCCGCTTTGATATCTTTCATGCTTGCTTACAATAAAAGTAAAGCATAGAGAAACTTATAAAAAAAATAGGAAAAAATCTTAATGCAGTCTTGTCACTTATGACAAGACTGTAATATGGTATATTTTATAACATAAAAATAAGTTTGTTGTTGGTACTGATATATGGAAAAAATGTAGGATGAAAGTAACGCTGCAACAATGTCATCTATTGACAAACGCCAGTAACAAAGGAAATATAAATGCGAAGACACATAAATATAAAAAAAGAAACTAAAAACATTTTACTTTTTAAGAAAAAATCCATAAAAAATTTTTTTGCAGTCTCTTTCTGTCTATCTCATAAATTTTGTTGTTAAAATGTAATACAAGGATTATCAAAAAATGTTTAAGAAAACACTTTAACACGATTGGCTTTTTTTGGGCCACTAGGTTAGAGCCCCCGCGGCCGCCTAAACCGCGTACCTTAAAATCCGCAGTTCTCTCCCTCTCTCTTTCTCCCTCTCTCTCACTTTCTCTCTCTCTCCCTCTCTCTCTCTCTCTCTTTATTATATATATATATATATATATATATATATATATATATATATATATATATATATATATATATATATATATATATATATATATATATATATATATATATATATATATATATATATATATATATTAAAATAATTTAAATGAAAAAATACAAATTTATAATGGTACTTGAAGTTTCATGCTATTCGGCAATCATCAGCCATATTATTCCAATAATATGGCTGATGATTGCCGATTGGTTCACATTTTTTTGCAAAGCATCCTTATTTGACATAAGAATAAACATATAAATGTTTGGAGTTTGCTCTATGTCTGGAAGTTAGCTATCTCAAAGACCCAAAAATGCTATTGGCGCCATTACTTCTTTTCCATGTTTAAAATTAACTCATGCATAGTATGAGTTTAAACGCTTGTATTTTGGTCATTTGTTTTGAAATCATTTTTTTAAATTACTCATTGAGGCTGTCCATTAATAATTTCAACAATTTTAATTTGATTTTTATTTTACCTCCTCCCCATCCTCTTGTTAACAATTTTTTAAATTTCCAGAGACCTCCTCTATAAAATTACGCCAACATTCGATTACCCTCCCCCCAATAAAAATGGTTTTTCAAAATACTAAAAAAACGACAGTGTATTTATCTATAAATGAAGATTTTTCTATTTAATCATGCAGCTCTCCTAAGAAATGGCTTTAGTTTTGGAAGTTTGAATATATGTAAGTAATACTCATTAAAAATTTGTTACAACCAACATTGAAGCCGAGTGCTTATAAGCTTGTGGTAAAGCAGACCGCAGTAACCTCTGGAGCATTTAAAGCTTTTATATTTTAAAAACGTGGGTTTGAGTTTTATCTTAATTCTATTACCAAGCCGGCATTTATTTCTAAAAAGACGTCTTTTTTACGTTCAAAAAACGTTCTTAACGTCTTTTGAACATTTAAAAGACATATTTATAGGACCAAATGCCGGCTGGGTATGTCTTCCTGTTTACTGCTCTAAGCGTTTCATGTCATTTTAATGTAAATAAATGTTAATTTTGATTTTCCAATATCATTTAAAATTATGGAATTTATTTCAAAAGGATTTTCAAAGGAGAAAATCTTAAAAATGCATACAAACAAAGAAATATAAAGTTCTTTAGTTTTGAGGTTTTGAACGGATCTTAAATTTTAAAGGCTTAAATTTATATTTTGCTAAAAAATAATATAAAAATAGAATTCCAGGTCCATTCCATTTACCTGTTAATATTTTAGAATATGTTTTTTAAAAGAAAGTTTTTTTATCTACAACCAAAATCAAAATCCACCAATCTTCAAAAGTTTATTCTCAGCTCATTTTACTGCAGCGTCAATTGTTTTTTATTTAAAAAACACTTTTTTAGATCATCAACTATTGTTTAGCGTGAACCCATTTTAGCTGAAAATAAACACTCTCATTTAAAATGACATTGTTTTAAAATTTAAAACGTTCAAGTTTGATAAAAAAAAACGTTTGAGTTTTAATATAGAAAATGATAAAAAAAAAACTTAAATTTTTTTATTTATTATATTAAGTAAGTTGAGTTATACAAGCATACTTTTTTCTTTTTTTATTTATTTATTTTGAAATTAGTTGCGTATCTTTTGACCGAAAATTATGTAGTTAGTAGATTAAAAAAACCTCTTTAAAAACGTGCAGACCTGCGCGTTAAATAGTAAAATTGAAATAGATAACTGTTGGTTGACCAAACAAAACAAAAATTTCATGCTTAAGAAAAAGCACTATAACTATATAAATATACTGACAATGTGATAATCTTTCATGCATAGAGTTTTGAAACTTTTGTGGATGAAACGTAGAATATTTATAGAGCTTGCTTCTTTCAAATAATTATAAAAAAAAATTTCTCTTTAGGATTTTAAAACTTTAAATGTGTTTATGATTTATATTATAATTTCAGTAACTATTAATTAAATAATACTTGACAAAATATAAGTGGATGAAAAGCAATAATAAAATATGTTTTAAAACATTCCAAAATGGTTGCCGTTTATAAAAACGTTAGCAAATATTCTCATTTCATCATAAATTTTGCTCTTTTTGTTACCACATTAGCAAAACTACACCCTGATGGTTTCAATTACGAAGAGTGTCCCCCAAATCAAACTAAATGTGCTTTCTGGTTAGTTATCCAAGAAAAGTTAACCATGATTTATGAAAAAAATCTTGTATACGCTCATAATGGAAAATTATATTTGTACAATGAACACCATTCTAACTACACAACAGATGTAAGTTTTAAATCATTTTATTATGAATAAAAAATATGTTAAGCGATATCATTATCATCCCTATTAATAGCTCTCTTTCCTTAAACTCTTAGAAAACTCTGGCTCGGCTTATTTCTATTTGTTCTCTTATTTTTGAAAAGTTTATAATTTAAATTAGGAGCTAAATAATTTAAAAAAAAAAATTTTTTTTTTTAAGTTTATTTCTAAATATTAAATAATACATGAGATTTCTTGAACTTCCATTAAATTAAAAAAAAATTAGGGAATCGCTTGGAATAAGCAGAGTTTTTATCGGGGTGCCGACAATTGGTGTCCTCGGTAGTTTTATAAATGGTTGGTTAGTCAGTGGTTAAGAATCGGTATTTTTTTGACTCATTTTTTATATAATCTAAGATTGTTCTTCTCATTTCCTATCATAAAATCTGGATGTGAGATGTTTGTTGTGAACTTTCAAAAACATTTACGTAAACAAATATATATTATATAATATATATTTATTTAAGTAAGTGATAATGCTATAAAATATAAAATAGTATAGTTATAATGCTATAAACAAAAGAACCTCCTGATAAATAACACTCACAATTTATAAAGAGCAAATAGCTATGTGTTTTTTACGGCCGATTTGTTAATTTTTTTTTGAATATTTTCTTCCATTAAATTTCGAAATATTGCTCTTTGTTTTTTAAAGCCCATTTTTGGAAAGATTCTTTTAACGTTGATATTACTATAAACTTGCATTTCTTCGAAAGATTTTTTATATTTAGTTATTTCTTTAAAAGATTGTTATATGTATACCATATATTTGAAAAAAAACGACTGAAAAAATAGATTGTGCATATTTAGTTATTTTTCAACATATGAGTATCATATATTTGAAAAGGTTTAAGCAAAAAATATTTCATTTATATAAGAAATATTATCAGTAATACTACACTAAAGAGTGTACACTAAAGAGTGTACACTAAAGAGTGTACATTAGTGAAATTCTTTAGTGTACACTAAAGATTTTATAGCAAAGATTATAGATTTATTGATTTTATCCAACAACGTTCATGTTGCTTAGTAACTGTTGTTAAACTTACCTATTTCCAGAAAGTATATTACTTTTAGGACCACCATGGAATAAATAAATGGTTTACAGTTGGGAAAAACAAATTTCAATGTTTATGAAAACTAGTGCAACAAATTGAAACTTAGTTACATTATTGGATTTTACCAGCAACAGCTTTTGAGGGAAGTGAGGTTGAGTTCCGTACGAGTAGGGCAATTAAAATGGGGTGGAAATTTGGTTATTTTACATGTTATTTTACATGTAATTGTAAATTAAAAAAAAAATTTATGCATAAAAAACGTTCCTTTTTATGATGTATGTAAATTGAATATTTCATTGCAATGTATTATTTTTGAATATATGTGAATATTTTTCATGTAATTTACCAGCAAATTTATGGAGTTGCCAGGTGCGGCCTGAAAGTTTTAGGACGGAGTGCGAGCTAAGCTAAGCCCGGCACTCGATATTACTGAGATTATTAGTGTTCCATTAATTTAAATAATGCTGTTGTCCACAATAGCATACCAGTATAACAACCTTTTTTTTTTTTTTTTTGTTCTTTTCTTAAATATTCAATAAATTTATACAATAAAGTTAAGATAAAAACTGTTATACAGTAAAAAAATATAACAAAGTATACAGTTATAAAAATAAAAACAAAAATAAGAACGCGGAGACTCGCAGAAGACCTTCAGGTCTTATCACCGAGAACCGCTCGTAAATATTAAGTACATTAAATTAACATGAAATATAAAATAAATAAACAAAACAATGTCGTAGTAATAATTATTGTCAACCCAACTTTACATTTTGAAACTATTTCATTAAAGATATTATCGGTATAGGCATTATATGAGTGTGATGATAAAATAGATCTTTTGGGCACATCTTGCAACAACCTATATTGTTTTGAGGCAAATCCAAGATATACTTGTACTACCAAAGAGATATAATAAAACGGTACTAAAGAAAGCTAAGGTTTTTTCTTGTATAATGACTTCACAAATATTAAATTACAGGTATCAAAACCATTATTTAAACATCTAGTGGTTATTATTGTTATTATGCATTATAGTTTTACTCAATAGGATTATCTGCGTAAAGAATAAAGCTATTTTACTTAAAACCGAACTATTGGTTATGGTTATGAGTTATACAACTGTTGGAATAGTTACGTTTTATACAAGGATAAGCTTTCTATAATGATATTCAAGAAGTTTAGTGAATACATTATTTAACGAGAACCAACAATTAAAACAGTTGCAAAAAATAATAGACCTTTTAGTACATTTCCGTTTGTCTAATATGAAATATTGTTCGAAAATTTAGAAACGTAAGGAGGATATAGTAACCCAATGGGCACACCGAGGTCTATAGTACGTCCAAAAAGACGTCCGTGGACGTGCACTGAACGTACCAAATGCAACAACTTTCGTCCGTCCATTTTGGACCTATAAAGGACGTCCAAAGACGTCCAAAACAGACCGTCCGGAGGTCCACAATAGATGCTTTCAGACGTCTTACGGACGTCTAAATTTTGTCCGTTCATTCAGTGTTTTATTTTATTCAGCTTATTCTCATACCGACTCCATTTCTGGCAATAATAAAAAATGGAGTCTCAAGACTCCATTTTTTATAGTTGCTAGAGATGGAATCGGTATGAGAATAAGCTGAATAAAATTAAATTATAAGAAATTAAGTCTTTTTTTTCCCACAAAGCCTAAATTTAATATACACGTGTTTTTGGAATTAAACACAAGTATCAACCCTAATTAGGATATTAATAAGGTTACTTCATAAAAATTAAAGATTAAAATTAATAATTATTGACACAAAACATAACAAAAAAATAAAAAGAGTAATATTTTTGACAATGTTAATATATAAATACAATTTAGCAAAAACATTTTTTTTTGGCTCGTTTTAATATGTCGCCAATTACATCCTCGATGTTTCTTACATCATAACCAATTTTGTCACCAACAATAGTATCTAAAGAAATAATAATTATCACAAAATTGTCTGTCAATCATAGAACATGTTTTAGAAAACCAAAAATAAACAATTCTGTTCAAAAGCAAAGTAAAGAAACTTTGCTTTTGAATTTGATTTCCAAAAAATCAAAAAATTAAAAGACAGCCACAATAAAAATTTATATTAAAATACTTGTTATTAGTTTTGGTAAGTCATGCATAAAAAAACTAAATATTATTATTCCGACAAGAAATTTTCATGTGGGTCATATATAGCAATTGCATGTAAACTATTTCTCTCATTTATGAGATGGCTTTGCTACGAACCGTGGCTATAATGTTTATCCCACTGAAACCACACTAAATAGGAATAAAAACTACACTTCATTTTTGCGTAAAAGTTTCATATGACCCTCGTATGGTAAGCATATGTTAGTCATATATGACCCACTCTCCTTTGTGGAATGCGTTGGTGCGTTCCATATGTGGCTTTAATGTTTATCCTATTGAAACCACACTAAATAAGAACAAAAGCCGCATTATTTTCCTACAAGAAAATTATAACAAATACATAAACAAATCTTCTGACTTGTTTAAATATCATATTTAATCAAGTCAGTAGATTTATTTTTGTATAGAATATACAAATAATTATTAATACATACCTATACAAGTTAGTATCATACTTTATGTTTATTTATTTGTATAGAAATACCAATTATAAACTTAAATCGGAAAAAATCATTCTTTTTGCTTTTATATTATAATTTTAATCACTGATACGTATGATATACGTACAACAACTTTTTATGAAATTAAAAAAATTTATTCTGTACTAGTTCTGTACACAAAACTTACCTGATGAATCATGCAATAAGACGCAATATTTTCTTCAAATTCTTTATCTAGCAATCTTACAGTGTCTTCGATCAGTAGCTAAAGATTTATATGAAAGTTTTATATAAAACCCATGTACAAATAAAATCTAGAGAAAAGAATCAATAATAACAAAAGATTGTTTACATTCCCCACAATTTCAAAATCTAACATTGTTATCTGATAGCAAACACAACATATTAAGATATTTTTAACTTTGTTGAGTCTAGCTCTGAATTCATTTTTTACTTAAAGTTTATTTTGATTAACAATTCTCAAATATATTCATTACAAAACCATTCAAACATATATATTTTTTTTAAATTCACCTCCTCAAGGCCGAGAAGGCCACTACAGACGAGTAGGCTACTTTCTTGTGGTAATAACCCTCTCTCAACTCTATAACTCCGAAACACGAACCTTGACAAACAAGGTCGCTGCGCGGAGAAACAAGTTGAGCGCGGTACTGCCAACTTTACAACTACGAATTATCAAAACTGTAAACCACATAATAAAATGAAATATTCTAGAGCTTACCACAATAGATTGAAATGGAATCGTAATTTACAATTGGTTTGAATTTATATTCATGCATAATATATACAACAAGATAAATAGATGTATCCAAGATACATGAATGTAACAACATAAAAAAATCTTTTATTTTTAAGTAATATTTTTTAACAGTTTTATAATCATTGTTTTACAGTTGTATGACTTAAATAGTCTTGCTTTTTCGTCACTTAATGAAAATAATATTGAAAAAATTTATAAATAACTTTTTTTTTCATGCAAATAAAAAAAAAAATAAAACTTACGTTAATTGTCATCTCTTAAACTAAAACTCTACCTTCACTAGTTACTTCTAAACGCATTTACAACTTTTTCTATCATCATTTCATCATTGTCAATAGTTTTACAAGAAGCCACAGGTTAAAAAAACAGCTACTTTCTCTATTTCTTTAACTTCTAACTTGTTCAAACTTAAAGCTATTATATATATATATATATATATATATATATATATATATATATATATATATATATATATATATATATATATATATATATATATATATATATATATATATATACATATATATATATATATATATATATATATATATATATATATATATATATATATATATATATATATATATATATATATATATATATCTTACGTATTAATAATTCATTAAACTTAGGTTTTGGACTAGCCACTCTTTCTTTATCATTAAATTCATTTTTTTTAGAAATAATAAATAAAAAATTATTAACCAATATTCATTGTATATATATATATATATATATATATATATATATATATATATATATATATATAATATATATATATATATATACACATATATATATATATATATATATATAAATACTTATATTTAAATTGCTTAAATAAACTGTTATATATAATTGTAAAGAGGATCAATACAGTTTTTTAAAGGTGAAAAAATTATCAAAATTGAACTATTCCTTCAAAAGTTATGATGGTTTAAGTACCGATTTTTCGATATATTGATTTTTTGAAGAAACTGTGGTCACAATTAAGTTTTTTATAACTTAAATAGTCATAACTTTATCAATTCTTATCGAAATATAAATATCTTGATACCAAAAGATAGGTGTAAGAGTAGGCTACAAATTTATATTGACCACTAACCACAGGGCATATCCAGGGAATAGAAGGGGCAACAAAAAACCACCTTTACCATTAGAAATTGAACACTAGAAAAAATTTTTTTCAAGACATAAATAGTTCAAATATACAAAAAAGTTGTTATAAATTTATATTAAACAACCAAAGTATATGAGAGGCGTATGTTAACGATGGAAGTGGGTGTGGTGGTGATGGTTTGATACACCCTTGTATCAAAAATGACTTGTTTTCGTAAATACTTTTATCTTTAATAAAATAAATTCAATTAGTATACAATATAAAACTATGTTATACAAAATTTAAGCATACAAGTGGTGTTTACATTACATTAAATAATAAGACATTGCTATTGTAATACAATTTATTCAAATAGCAGTAAGCAACCCGTCATACGGGTTAGTAATGAATAAATGACAATTTAAATTAATATATTATCTGAAAAATATAAAATACAAATTCAACCAACTATAGGGCTGCCATTGTCCCGGTTTTTCCGCTAAAAAACGATATAAAAGTTTTAATTAGTTTAGCGTAGCGCTCTCCTCTGTAAAAATTGGGAAAATGGCAGCCCTATCTATATAATAAAATCTTTTTGGTTTTGCTCAATTTTGTTGCTCTTGGCTTTTAGTAAAGACTTGGTCTTTTTTTTACTTAAATTAAGATACTAAGTTCTTTTCTAATAACAGCAAGCACCAGAAAGCCAAAACAATTTATCAATACCTAAAAAAAAAAGATCATTTTAAACTACAAAAATTATTTTACATAATTATTACTGTATTTTAGAACAACCGACTATAAATAATAACGATCTATAAATTATGACTTTTTTGACTGCGAAGTGAGTGCTAATTCAACAACAGTACGATGCATGCCTTGTTTAGGTTGTGCTTTGTTTATCCGGTTCACCACCCTCGCCTTAGTTATTGTTTTAACTTTCACAAAACCTTCATATTAATTTAATTAAAACTTTATTTCTAGTATACAATAGAGAAAATAACTTAAGATCAATGTTAAACTGTGTAATTAATACACATAAATGTATGCATAAAAACCTTTAATAAAATGTATGCATTAATAAAATGTATGCATAAAAACCGTTAATAAAATCATTTTAAATACGGTTGTTCACTTTTGCAAAAGTATAAAAAAAAAAACCTTTCGAAAGTCTATTTTTGTTTCGGTAAGTTTGAAACAATTTCTAATTACTTAATTTTGAACCAAAATGAATTTCGCTTTCGAAATTCACGAAATTCTATCAATACATTTTTAAAGTGTCGAAATCCTAAAAAAAGCTCCGAAACTATTTTTCGTTGAAAATTGTATCGAAATATATTTACATTATCGAAAAATTACCTAAACAATTTTTCACTTTCGAAACTCTATAATTTGTATCGAAATTCTATAAATGGCACCGAAACATTTTATCAATTTCGAATCTCTATAATTTGTATCGAAAAATTTTGATGCGATCGAAATTTTAAAAATGGCACTAAAGCAATATTTTATTTTCGAATCTCTATTACTTGCATCGAAATATTTTGATATTATCGAAACCATAAAAACGGTATCGAAACAATTTTTTACTTTCAAAATTCTTAAAATCACTTAAAACTTTTATTTATTTTATTACATTAATTCTGAAAACTGCATTTAAATTAGGGTTGTTAACCGGAGGATTTCGTGCAATTCCGGAAAAAATTCTTTCGTAAAGAGATTGAGAACGAGGAATTACATTTTTTCGTACCGAATGTTACAAAACATTTAAAATCGCCGATGTTCATTTCGCAAAAGCCACTTCCGAAATTTAGCATTTCGCAAGTTGACATACGAAACAAAACTATTTTGCAACATACGAAAGTAGCGGTTTCGGAAGTCGCACTTGCGAAACAAACATTTTCGCCAAACGACGTTTTGAAGTCTATAAAGAAAATTTGTTTGCCAGACTGATTTTAATTGTAAAAATTAACATCTTTAAATCCCAAAATGTTTATAATGAATTTTTATTTTCAGTATAATAACATATTAAATTTTTATGGTTTTATTTTTAGAAATATTGATAAAAAATAAAATTTCTTTCGATACGAAAGTATTTCGGATCACAACATACGAAAGAATTCTTAACGGAAATAAACTTACGAAACGTGCCATAATAAATATATATAAAGATGTTTTTTGAACTCATTACGTATATTAAAAATAAGAATGATGGGTAGCAATACATGTTTTTTTTTTTTTAAAGCATATGAAATTTTTGAAACAGGTTCGAATATGCTTAAGCAAATAGTAAAAAGAGGCTCAAAAATATGGTTTAGCTTAAGCATATTTCTGATAAAATATACCTATTTCAATAATTTCTAAAAGTGTGCACGTTACTAAAGTTCTAGCAGATTTTAAAGGTATGTAGAGTCCTGTTTGAATACGCTTTTCGAAGTATAGATCTTAGAAAATTTGTGTTTAATTTTAATAAGATATAAATTTAAGTATAAGATCGTATAGTTCAATCAGTTAGATACGTGATAATTCGCCGCAGAGATCCGGGTTCGCATCCCGCAGCCATTGTAACTTTTGTTCATCAAACTCTTTTTACTTAAGATAGCATTTTTTGACCTCCATGTTCTATATTACAGATCTTTCGTCACCTTCATAATAGTGACAACCTCTCTTCTGTTAGTTATTCTTTTAAGATTGAGTTCATTGTGCTTAATTCTACACGTTTCCCTTGCTTTACTAAGTTCTACTTAAATTATGATGAAATGTACGTAAAACAACTTTTTCAAATAATATAAATCATTTTGCTTTAAATCTTGTGCTTTTTGTACTAGACATCTGTCCTAAACACTTTGTAATAATTTCTAGCTAACTCTGAGTCTAATATAATCATTTCTGAATATAATTTCCCTGAAGCTCCTACAGCCTATTGTGTTCCATTAAAAGTAACTAGTTTTCGAGTCCAGATATTAATTATAAGCAACTAAAGGTTCACATTACTATTCATTTTCCTGATATATAGAATCCTATTTGCATACGTATCTCTTTCTGTAAATTCTGTTTTATATAGTTTCTTAATTATATAATAAATAAATATTACTATTCACTTAGTTGAATGAACGTATAGCTCATTCAGTTAAGACATTTGGCCGCGGAGACCCAGGTTCACATCCCGCTGTTTCACATATATTTCTTCTCTTTTTACTCTTTCTGATATCATTTACTTTTAGAGAGATCTCTCGTTCTTTATAATAAAGTATTTAATTGTTTATCACACATCCTCTTTATACTTTTTAAAAAGAAAGGCATACTGTTTATCTGTTCATTGAGAGTCCAACTTAACGGGATTTTACTGTATATATATACTATATATTTACAATAGGCTGCGATAAAATAGGAAATTATTATTATCTTTATAATTATTAAATTATTATCAATTATTCACTAGTAATTTAAAAAATTGCATTTTATAATCATTTAGATATAATATTTTTAAATTGTTTAATTGTAGTTTATTATAATTAAATGTAATAGTAATTAAAACTTTTTTATATTACTATTATGAAGTAACGATTATCTTGCAGCTATTCCGCATTCTAAATGAAATAATTAAATAAAATGAACCTTAAAATGATTTTAACAATTAAATATTTATAACAAACTTAAATATTTAAACAAATTGAATCTTATTTGAACCAATTATAACAAAAAAACACCCTGAAACGTTGCTAAAATTAGATAATTAGCAAAAACTATTTTCCCATGGTGAAAAAAAATTTTCCTTGGGCGTTGACACCAGTATCCTGAGGAAAAGCATTGATGGACAGTACAGGTTGTAAGGAATTGACCGAGCGGGGAAAGATGCCGTCAACTTTTGCAAA